TTAAGGATAAATACACTTAATTTAAGACATTTTTTACTAATTTTTAGATCGTTTTTGCAGTGTAGTATTGCCTAATGGTAAATCCCCCCCTGCTCCAGACTGACAGCTGTCCCAGCATGCACTGCGGCAGCAGCAGCTTCCAGGTTAGCACTCACAGAGCTCAGAGTGGAGGTGAACTTTGAATGTGGTGATGTCATCAGTAGGTTTCCCTTACCTTTGACCCAGAATTATACTGCGTTCTCCCGTTCTCCACAAGTCTAAACTTTCCTGTGTTCTTGTCAAGAACGTACTTGGCGAGGACACATGTCCGTACTTTAGTTCTTGTGAATTGAGAAACGGCCTTTGACTCAACTACAAACCTACCCAAATATGTCTTTTCATCAGACCTGTGGTAACGGACCTCACTGAACAGACCATTACTACAATGAAACATGATGATGGCAGCATGATGCTGTGGGTTGAGAGGAAGGTGGATGAATACGATTTACTTTTTAAACATGACAAAATTCAGAAAAGTCTAAGGGGTATGAATATGACGCCTCCTTGTGGAAATGTTTTAACTAAAAAATGACCTGCTGCGTTGTTCTTCTTCTCCAGCAATAATCCAACCCATAAGTACTTCCTTGCGGTGGATCCTGTATCCGGGGCCCTGTTCATCTCAGATACCAACTCCAGACGGATTTACAGAGTCCGCTCGCTGACGGGCGGCCGGCTGCTGTCAGATAACGCCGAGGTGGTGGCGGGGACAGGGGAGCAGTGCTTACCCTTTGACGAACGCTGCGGTGACGGTGGAAAAGCCACTGAAGCTACGCTCATGAGCCCTAAAGGTAGGATCCTAACCCAACTTTGCTTTCATCATCAGTTTGAAATAATAAGAACAATAAAAGTCGGTTAATAATTAGATTTTAGGAACAAAAAGCTTTGATATGAATCTGTAGTTAAGCTCAGAAGAAGTTTTACATAATAGTAGCGCCTGTTGGCTCCACTAAAGCAGGACAGAGACTGAAACGGTTTATAAACCAGGTTAATGTTAAACTTGTAATAGAATCATTTTTATGGATCAGTGGATCTCGGCACACTGTGACACCAAACTGTCAAGCATGTCAGGCTGTAACATTTCTCGTCAGTGACATGACAGAGTGTAATGTTGGGCTGCAGGATGCCACCACTCTACTGTATGTTTATGTCTGAGTCGCTTTATTTTACCTTTCATAAAGCCTCATTTTTAAACCATCAACTTGTTTCTTTGCACTCAAATCTTTTGTGTATTTCATGGAAAAAATTCCTGTTTTTACTGAGCAACAACTTTCTATGGTTTTCTGCTCTTTATTTTCACTGTAAATTATGAAATTGTAACAATGGGTAAGATTTTATAGGAGGTATGTCTGCAGTGGGGAAACTAACAAAGCTGAAACAGAAGAAAAGGAAAGGATGACAGGAACTTTCAAAGAAGGAAAGAAAGAAAGAAAGGATGGAAGAAAGAAGGAAAAGACACAAGATTGGGATGAAAAAATTACACTTGGAAGAATACAATGAAGGAACGTTAATAGAATAAAATAGAAATCCCTGTATTGTTCAACAATGGGGCAATTCTGGTATTTCCAACAGCAAAAATATTCTAGAAAAAATGGCCACACAAATATGGACCTTAGAATAATTTATAAGAATAACAAAATAGTGAAGAGCTAAAAGATAAACAATAAAAT